TTTTTTCTCAAAAGTTTAGGGGGACAGGAGGCCCCTAGTCCCCCCTAGCTCTGTCAATGTTGTTCTGTATTGATAAACTTGTAAGAAAAGATACAAAGACATAAACCTACTTTTAATTGTTCGCAATTAACTTTAAATTGGACCATCTCTAAAGTTCTATTCTTGTTGTTTAAAGGAACGCAAACATTAATTGGAGTTAAATTAGTTAAAAAGGCAAAAAGAGACGATCCATTTGACCTTATGGGAGGCGCACGTGTATCGTGTATTTGTACAAGATGCCAAGAGAATCAAGGCAAAACATGCAGATCACCCCCTTAACTCATTAGTTGGTAGCAAATCACCCCCTCAACTCACCTGCAGTGGCAAATCACCCCTCTGTTAAGGCTGACATCATTATGCCGTTAACTTTTAATGGTCCGCTCATAATGCCCTTATCTACGTCTGACATGGCTTTTTTTGCTGAGATGGAGGCGCCACCTCAGAATTCACCCCAAAATCATCAGATCAATCAAATTACTTTTATGCATGTTTTGCCAATTTTGCAAGATCTAGTTTTGAAACATATATGATTGTTCAGAAAATCCGAGACTGATATTCAAGCATAAACATATATGATTTAGGATCAATACAGATTAATGTTACAGATCCAACATAAAATCGAAAAAAATAAAGGGATAAGATCAATTAGAAGCGTATATATGAACTCCTATGGCAATGAGGAAAATGGTTATGAGACCGAAATAGATGATAACGTGCACGAGGATAGAGGCGTTACTAGTATTCATGTTGCCGAACTCAACCACCCTGCCCTTAGCAGGAATATGAAACAGCAAGCCTGGACTCAGCAGCACAAACAGCACCGTCACCACCAGCACGGGACCCCAATCCGTCGACATGACCTCTGTCACTTCCGTTTTTTCAGAGAAGAAATGAATTTCAGAAGCTTGGTGAAAGATCTGAGTAGGCAAAGAAGAAAACGCCGAATCTGAGTGGAGATAGATGCAAACAGCAGAATGGGAAATGCTGACTTGATAAAGGGGAATCAGCACACGAGAGGAACGTGTGAGCAACTGCTGTGATTTTCACTTTAAAACTCTACTCTCCGAAAATTTTCCTTTACGAAACTCCCCCTCATATACATCCCCATTGCTGTAGACCTGCACCCAATATCCCGAATTCACTTTCCTTTTCGATTTTGGCTTCACCCCAATTGACCAAACCACAGGTCTTGAAGATTTTGAGGATGAACCACCAAACGAATTTACTCAGCAATGAACAAGCAAGTGGTAATCGAATCGAGGGAAGGCGAGGGAGCCCAAGATTGAGAGAAATTAAAAGGGTAAGGAAGAAAGCAAGAAAAGGAAATTAAGGACAAAAAAGCGACCAGGATTGGACACAAAAATGTAAATCGAAGCCAGTGGGAGCAGAAAAAGAAAACGCAGCTGGAAACAAATCAAATGGGCACCAATCAAATGACGAATCAGAGTGCCAGCAACTCGTTGTGCATCAAATGGAATAGCAAAAAACCCAGAACAAGAAAGGGGTTGCAAAAAGGAAGAAGCCATGGCTCTTAAAAGAAGAAAGAGTTGGGGACTTAGCCAAGGTTTGGGTCATCACAGACCTCTTGTGGGTGTGGAGAGAAGGGCATGTGCCGAGGAATCGGAGAAGGTTCCATGATGACTATGGTTTGGAATCAATGGTGGGTTGGGTGGAATTTGGATGGTGAGATGGGGTTTGTTGGGAAGGGAGAAAGCAGAAAAAAGGCCACATCAGACGTAGATAAGGGAATTATGAGCGGACTGTTAAAAGTTAACGGCGTGATGATGTCAACCTTAACAGAGGGGCTGATTTATCACTGCTGCTGAGTTAAGGGATTGGTTTGCGTGTGAAGTCAGTCGAGAGGGTGATTTGTCACTACTCAATGAGTTAAGGGGGTGATCTGCATGTTTTGCCGAGAATCAACTTGTGGGATAACTTCTGCTTCAGAAGAAGCTCTATCGATATCCTTATTTCAAGATTTTTATTCCTCCTCTATCACCTCTAGTTTGTTTTCTCTCTCTGACTTCATTTCCTTTTTTATTTATTTATTGATTTTTTTTGTGAGACTGTCATATTCTCTTTAATTTGAACTATTATAAATACTCAGCACCAACCCTGATCACAAACACATCAACACTATTAGTATTTGAATTTAAGTCATTTGAGTTTTCTGCGATTTTCT